CACACACACACACACACACACACGTAGAGAGAGAGAGAACTCTGAAGAGAATTCATCCCCCTGTAAATCAACCTCACAGTAAAAGCCCTGCACAAATTTTGACGGTTAGCTGCATATTTGTGTATTTTAGTTTCCATGGTCCTAATAAAGTTACTATTATTAAAATGTTATTGAAAATAAAATGCATTTTATATAATATTAGGCTATATATGTATATATATATATATAGGCTCTTTTGGAAAAATGCATTAACCAAAAATAAAAAAATTGGCTCTTTGGTCAAAAAAGGTTCCCGACCCCTGGTTTAAAGCAATAAGCCCCAAGAAGCCATGGTTCACAGTGAATTTATAACAGCTAAGGGGCGTTGTTAGGTACGACGCGAAGCGGAGTAATGATATTAATAAAAACAGTATTCTTCCACCAAACAATACCAAAGTAGTTCCTCAGAAACAGTTGTGGTTCCAACAAAGTGGTTGCCAAGCAACACATAGAAGTAAACAAAGGTGTATGTTTGTAGTGTAATTTACAACAGCTTCGAACACGGCTCAACCAATCAGAATCAAGGACCGGAACTATCCGTTCTATAATCTTATTTAGAGTATCATTTCATTAAAAAAAAAACATTAAAGGGATAGTTCACCCAAAAAATTTAATTCTGTCATAAATTTCCCTCGTGTCGTTTCAAACCTGTATGACTTTCTTTGTGGAACATAAAAAGGTATTTTGAAGACTGTTGGTAACAAAGCTGTTTTGGTTGATGTTTCTCAAATGATCTTCTTTTATGTTCCATAGTTAATGTTAGGCTGTTGTAGCATAAACGTTTATGTGTAATAAATTTTATGTTGAATCAAATAAAATATTTCTTTCTAAAGGTACTATTTGTAATGTCTACTTGATACTTTCTCATTTAACACAATAATGACTTTACATTATCTTTTGTGGGTAATTTCACAGCCAAATTTCATTTGCAATTAATCCGATGAATTAATAAACACATCATGTAATTAATTAGATTAAACATTTTAATCGACTGACAGCCCTAATTAAAACGCAACTGCAGGAGATCAGGTTACGAAGTGCAAGATTATATATAATATCATTCATAAACATGCAGCTGAACAGCAAATCTGCTGCATATTGTTAAGACAGAAAAGGTGTCTGGGATAAGATGGGCCATCATTACTCACAGCAGCCATGTCTTTGACGAGTTTAATAATAATCTCAGCGATCTGAGGCGGAGTGGAGCCCTTCATCCACCAGTGACTAATTCCACGCCGTATGTAGCTGCACAAACAGACAAAAATATAAACAAAGTTATTAAATATACATTTCTAAAATGTTAAGACCCTTAATAAGATGATTTCAGACCATGTGTTTTAAATAACACAGCCCTGCATCTTAAAAAAAAATTCTGCTGATTTGCAAAAAAGCCCCAATATTAATTAATTTGATGATGCAGGGTACAAAAATAAGAATTTAAAAAAATATTTTTATATAAGATATCAAAAAATAATTTTACAAAAGTGATTTTATATACATAGAAAGCATTAAATGCAAGTCAAGTGTCTAATGTTTCACATAACTTTTGTGAAGACAAAATGTCAAAACATGGGTGAAATAATGTTACGTCGTCATTCAGCGTGACAGATTTAGCTAAAAATTATTCAACATACTTATTCGGATCTGTACTTATTAAAATACGTAAAAGAAAAAGTGGTCATACTACATTTTAAATGATTTAAAACTTATTTAAAATTAAATTTATTTAGTATTTTGAGGCTGCACTGTGCTCCTTAAATGACATCTAATGATTCTTGTTTTAAATCCACCAATGAACTATGAACTACTGCTACAGAAAATTATATTTTAGTTTGTTTGCTGTAAATCATCACAAAAATAAAAAAAAAATTTTGTTCTGAAAAAATAAACAAACATGACATTCTAATGTACGGGGGGGAAAATTAAAGCTGTACAAAACTTTTGTTTTGATGCTTGAAAACCCTTTTCATCTTAGACCCATATATTTATATATCATCTAGGGCTGCACGATAAATCGAAATGGAATCGAGATCGCAATTCGACAGAAGCTGCGATTGTCATGCGTATCTTTTAGTGAAGCACGGTTCTGTGATCAGCAGTAAATCTCCATCCAAAGGCCAGAGGGCGCTCTCTAGCTGAAACTCCAAATACGCCTCGCAGAAGAAACCCAGAAAATGCCTATCGCTGCAGCTGAATAAACAGAAGATTAAACTGCTTTCATTGATTCAACGTGAATAATAAACACACGACTACGGCAATATACGGTTTATCTGAGTTCTTATTATTATAATTTTCATTACAATAAAGTATATTTATAATGCAATGCCTTTATCACTGCTTAAATACTATGAAATATGTTTCGTGCCTTATTCTGTGTAAGAAGCCACATCATCTCACAGGAGGATTTATTTCAAACACTCGACTGACGTTATGAAGTGAGTTTGGAGTAAAAATATGTTATTAAATGTGGTATTTTCACATGCTTTCAGATGGAGCAGCATTTACTACACAGAGCCGTAGTGCACTGAGAAGCTATGCAAACAGCTGTCATTATCGCAAACGATTTCTTCGATTTCAGAATCGCGCAATAAAATCGTCTGCGATTTTTTTGCGTAACTTGTCAGTGAACTACGGCTATGTGTAGTAAATTCTGCTCCATCTGAAAGCACATGATGATGATTTCCTGCTGATTACAGAACCGGCTTTTTTAACAAAATGCGTATTACAATCGCATTCGATTAATCGTGCAGCCCTAATATCATCTTTACTGCACTTAGTAAAATAACAAAAGCCATAAACTCTCAACATTTTTGAATGACAAAAAGCATTATTCAAAATGTATAATTTACCTAAATCTACAAGAGTGGGAAAAAAATGAAATCAGGTTTTAAGAATTATTCTTAAACAATTCTTAAACAATTATTATGTAAAAATAATAAATAGTTTGAATCTGGCTCAGAGGAAGATAAGAATCATATCTTTGTGGCAGTTTTTCTGGTGATTAAAGGATAATGCAAGGCTTCACCATACATATGGTTGTCGAAAGCAAAAACGCTACGAAATGCAGATATTCTGTGAAAAAGTGTAACATGCTAGAGCAAAAAAGACATTATTTTTAGAATCAACTGCCCAAAATTTGTAAGAAACAAGTATTGGATTTCATTCAGCAAATATGATCCAAGGCAGTGTAATTTGAAAATGGCACATGCAAGCAAGCTGACCTTGAGTTGAAGATCATGGGTAGGGTGACTGTAGTGACTCCTTTGCCTGCAGCCATGCCAGCTGTGCCAACTATAGTGGTGCCCTTCGCCTTGAGCTGCACAGTGAGGGCTTTGGCGATGCAGCCCAGAAACATATCTAAAATGCCCAGCTTGGTCCAGTCGCTCTTCTCGGTGGAGTGGATGATGTCACTGATGTCTGCTGGTGGCAGCGCCTTTACGCCGATGACGCTGGCCAGGCGCATGGGAGTGACCTCAGGAAGAACGCGCCTGAGCAGTGACGTCACCTGCGCGGCAAGAACAGTGTTGCATTCCAGATCCTGATTCTAGAAAGTCAAGTTCAAGACTAGCAGTTCTCGATGCGTTCACAAACCTGTCTCTGGACGCGTGGCGAGGCGGTGTGAAGGAGGGAGAAGAGGTCCTGCAGTAGGGTGAGCTGCTGGGCCAGGTACTGCCGCCCAACGTTAGATCCACTCAAGGCCAGCACCATAGACAACAGCTCAAAGCAGTAAGCATCAGAGGAGGCGTCGTCGTCACTGGGCTGAGAGTTTGCGTTCTCCTTGCTGGAAATGGCGTGCTCCCATTCCTCCCGCACTCGCGTGGCCTCCATACGGATGGCCTGGACGATATGGGCACACACCTGAGGCGGCAAACAGTCAGGTGTGGAGTAACTGCTATTTTACAGAGACTTGGGAACAGGAAAAGGCTGGCTGTCTACTGCCTGAAATGGAACCTCATAAGTAATGGATATAGAACGCTCTACAAATGCATCATACAAATACTCTTCCTCACACGAAAAGCACTCACAATCCGCTGAAGTCTGATGTCAAGCACCACTGTTTCTGGCTCAAACTGCTCTACCAGATCCCAAAAGCAACAGATGATGCTAATATAGACTCACAGTGTGATGTAATACTACTGGAAATCATAATCCTAACCTTTATCTCAATAGAGAAATATCAGGTGCTCTGACAGTAATTATTTATTAATGATTTCAAAAAAAAAAAAAAAAAATCTTAGCCTAAAATGTGCTATACATAAAAAAAATGCCCATAAAGATGCTGGACCCAGAAACAGTATTTGATACATCACAACTTAATAAGCGGAATAATTTGGTGTTAAACTGCCTTTGACCATCTCCAAAAAAATGCAAACGTCATTGTAGAGTTCTGACCATATGCGTATGCAAATTTGAGGTTGTGTTGAAATATTTGAACTTTTGCGACTGGACCATATGTGACTGTTCAAAATGTGCTATACATAAAAAAATGCCCATAAAGATGCTGGACCCAGAAACAGTATTTGATACATCACAACTTAATAAGCGGAATAATTTGGTGTTAAACTGCCTTTGACCATCTCCAAAAAAATGCAAACGTCATTGTAGAGTTCTGACCATATGCGTATGCAAATTTGAGGTTGTGTTGAAATATTTGAACTTTTGCGACTGGACCATATGTGACTGTTCAAATAAAAAAAATATGAGCATGAGGTAAGACTTGCCAAAATGTTAACCATTAAAAATTGTTTGGTTATGAATATTTATGTCCTATACAATTACTTTACAGTGGTTATAAAATATTACAATTAACCCTAGAAAACTTACTATGCTTTTTTCGCCCAAACATACTGGTGTCCATGTATTTTGTGTATTCATACATTCATTACTCATTCATTTTACCACGGAAAATAATAACCTAATAAAGCACAAATATTGGCTAAACAACCCATTTTTACTAAGACAGAACTGTTTTTGCTGGTTTTTTTGTAAATTATTTGTTTATAATCAACACTTTTTCTGCCATCTTGGATGGATTTTTAGGCAGCTTGTTTGGTTTTAGAGAGAGCCGAGAGTTGTTTTGATGGTGTTACCTGTTTCTGAAGGTTGGTCAGTTTGCTCCTGCTGAAAATAATGCCAACCATGTGCTCCTTCAAGTCTGCATCAGATGGAGCCTGAAGACGAAACATTTGTAACATAATTGAACAACTTCATCTTATGCTTCAGCACTTGATATGGTTGTAACGAGCCACCAAACACAACAGATGCTGGTACTGACCTTGTCTTCACCCTCGGGTGAGGAGAGCAGGTTCTTCTCTTCTTGTTCTGGTGTTGGTTCTGCATCCCCACAAATTAGTTTCCCAAACACCTACACAAACACATAAACATGACTTTTGCCTTTCCTTAAACGATATCTGTGAACGAGTGTTTTACAGAGTTTGATGTACAGTGGTACTGGAACCGTACTGCGGATTGTGCCTTCGTGAGCCGTTTGAGAAGGTTTTTGGCCTCACCTGTGATGTAATGAGGCGGAAGACCTGCTGAAAATAATGCCAACCATGTGCTCCTTCAAGTCTGCATCAGATGGAGCCTGAAGACGAAACATTTGTAACATAATTGAACAACTTCATCTTATGCTTCAGCACTTGATATGGTTGTAACGAGCCACCAAACACAACAGATGCTGGTACTGACCTTGTCTTCACCCTCGGGTGAGGAGAGCAGGTTCTTCTCTTCTTGTTCTGGTGTTGGTTCTGCATCCCCACAAATTAGTTTCCCAAACACCTACACAAACACATAAACATGACTTTTGCCTTTCCTTAAACGATATCTGTGAACGAGTGTTTTACAGAGTTTGATGTACAGTGGTACTGGAACCGTACTGCGGATTGTGCCTTCGTGAGCCGTTTGAGAAGGTTTTTGGCCTCACCTGTGATGTAATGAGGCGGAAGACACGCAGCGTCTCAGCCTCGCAGTTCTTCTGCTGAGATACACTGGCTGATATCTGCCCAGCAATCTTGATGCTCTCGCCCTCCTTCCAGCCAAGCACTTTGACCTGCCGTACCCTAAGCGTGTTCTCAGGACCCTTAAGCTCGATCTTGATCACGTGGTGGTCTCCTCCAGGCAGCTCACTGGTCACCCAGCCCATGTGCCTCGAGTCTAAGTCAAGCTGAGACAACAAAAAGTCCATTCAGTGAAACGAGCCTTTTTCAAACTGACTTAATGTCATATGCAGAAGTATAGATCATCAGAGGACGCGTTAACACAACTTTTTTTGTAAAAAGGTTCACAGATAATCTCATTAAGTCATTTAAGTCCTACCTGCTTGATTCTGCAGAGATCTTCCACAGCCTTCCCACAAAGGAATATCATTGACGTGACTTTATTCTGACAGAACACAAAGCACAGGTTATATAAATTACTAGATGTTTAAAGATACATGTATAAATGATATTACAAAACAATCAACTCAAACTAGAAAAATGTGACAAAATGTCATATCTGAAGGTTTGAACGTTATATAGGCTTTGTGCACTTTGAACACTTCATAAAATCTATACAGAATTACCAGTTGGCCAACATAGAGAGCGGTATTAATATACTGACTGGGAAAGAACAGACAGAAAAACTAAAAGAACAATAGTTTGCAAACTCACTCCAATGTCACGAGAGTTGTCGACATGGACAGAGACATATGAGGCATTGATGCCTTTGACACAGCTGATAGTGATGCTCTTTGTTTTGTTCTTATCTTCATCTCCAGACTCCCAGAACGTCTCAGTGGAGCCATCAGTCAGGCTGCCGATCATGGCTGGTCGGCTGGACGTTTTAATGTCTACCACGCTGGTCAGATCTTTCAGACAGGTCAACACACAAAGTTCCTGCAATACATGTAAAATACCTTCATTGCGATTTAAGCTCATTTAGATGTTGGCTTCAGCCAAATGAATAAATCTAAAGGCAACAGGAAAGAAAGTCTTTGTTGTCAATCAACGTAGATGAAGGTAATGGAATGTTTCCCACCTGACTAATCGCTTCGTATCCCGACTGTACGCTGATGTTAAAACTCTCCTCACTGTCCCCATCATCTGATTTGGACAGGATGTTGTTGATGTGGTGAAATACGTTACTCTGGTGCAGGAACTGATGATCTGATTGTTTGAATTTCAGACTCCAACATCTAATGAAACAGCCAAACAAATACTAGATTTGTACATTTATGAAGACGATGTTAGTTGAGATTGCATGTGCAAAATTTGCCAGCATCATTTATCATCAGGAGGTTGCAAATGGTGTCTCTATGAACAGGCAAAAGATACCTGAGGGCCATCTGCTGAAGTGAGCTTCCACTGGGAAGTGACATCATGAGGTCAGAGATGGTCTGGAGCAGACGGTGGAAGGTGTGGGGCAGCGGGTGAGCCGCCTCTCCTGCGATGAGAATGTCAGACAGGGGGTGCTCACATACACCTAAATCCTTCTCCTGTGAGAACAAGAAGAAAAACATCCTGTTTCAGAAAAACCTCTGTTCATCTTAAGTAAATAGTGACTTCTTAATAAACCATTAGCAGTGTTGTGAGGCCACACCTGCTCGAGGTTCTCCTTGTTCCCTTTGTTCTCTTCCTCCTCCTCTTCTTCCGTCTCAAAGGGAGACGGAGTCAGAGACGCCACAAAGTGCCACAGGATATCATGGAGGGAGGTGGTCTGGGTAACATTACACAGCAGCCAATTAAAAGCCTGAAAAGGAAATGCAGAACAAAAGGTTTGTTAAGAGTTCCCAAAACTTCTGACTAAAATTTTCTAGTCAATTGTGATAACTGGATAAGGATTTTAATACATGTCTTTTACATGGACTTTAATACAGTGACTGCATTATACAATTTAGGACAGGAAGAAGAGGACTGAAAGTCGGCAGAAGGCCAGAGATAATGTCGCTGACCTCCATGGCAAACACCCTGCAGGCTGATTTGCGGAGTGCATGCTTCATAGCCACTTCCAGGCCCTCTAGGTCATGATGCTGGATAACAAATGCCAGCACAGGCCACTGGAAGTTTCTTTCACCCTTGCTGAGAGAGCCGTGGGCTGAGATCAGTCGAGACAACTCAGGAGAAGGGTGACGAAGCAGTGATGACCCAACTTCTGTAGAAACCAGCAGGTATTAACTCACATTTAAAATGTTTAACTTAGCATCACAATACTAATATTTTAGCAGTGAACAACAACAACAACAAAAATTAACATTTTAAAATCCAGTATTAATATTTACAAATTAAATAAAAAAATGGCATCTAGCATTTCTGGTCAACTATCACTTTTCCTGAATGCAAAGTTTACATTAATCGATTCTAAACTCTGCTTTGATAACTTGAGGACTCAAACATTGTTAGAAGGTATAGGTAAATATTGCTATGCATCATTATATTGGTGCATGCAAGCCATTTTAACATGTAGGTTAAACAGTAAAACATGGACCTAATGACACCAAGTTCATGGGTTCAAATCCCAGAGGCTGCAAGAACTACTAAAATGTATACAATCAATGCAATACAAGTTGGATAAAAGCACCAGCCAAATGCAAATTATATACAGAATAACTTTAAAAGACTGAAATTAGTTCAGTCCTGTATAGCAGCAGCACTCCTGATGTAAAAATATTCTCAGACATCACACTCTGTCATTATGGTAATAATGGAAATTAGCTGAATTAATTAGACATTTGTAACTGTGCTGTACAAAGTGACACACCATTACCTGCATCCCCGCTGTGTACCCTGCGTCTCGGCACTGCTTTGACCCGTGCTGGGGAAGCTGAGTGCTGCTTATCATACTCGGAGGCCACCACTGAATATGAGCGCTGGAATACTGTCCGCTTGGCTGTGTCACTGTCTGTGATTGGACTTGTCTCCAAACTAAAGGAACAAAGTTAAATAAAGAAGTCATACAGAGATAATAAGCACACAAAAATGGCTAAATGTTCATAGAACCAGTATTAGAGCATGGCAATTTGGGAGATACATGTAAGAGTTTGTTACAGTACCTTGGGGGCATGGACTTCATGTTACTTCCTGGCTCTTGAAAAACATTGGGGCAGGCATCAGGAGTGACTGAAATATAGGGAGCAGGGACTGACGTAGAACGCAGGTAACGCATCTCATCCTGAAACAAGTTGTCATCTTGATAGGCCCCAAAGTTCTCAGTGTGTTGGCTGCAAAAAGGACATTGAGAAAGACTCAATGAGATACTCAATGCACTGAATTACTACAACAAGGCTGCCCGTGGTCATGGTGATCAACAAAAGGTATTTACCGGGCTAGAGTTTGCAGATAGAGGCAGCCCATCTTGTTGGGTAGTTCCTCAGACACTCCCTCTTTGAGGCTGGGCAGATGTGCGTGGAAGGGTTTAGGTGGGTAATGGCAAAGTAGACTTGGCTCAGCGGCGCTGCTCAGAGACAGCAGGAACAGTGCATTGGCACGGATCACCTGGTGGGCCTCCATCGTGGGCAGAGCCCGTGGGGTTTTCACCTGGAGAGGTTTCTTCCTTGACAGCTTGACCTTATCCAAGAACCACAGGGTTGAACCCAAGAAAGAATCATTCAATGTTTTAGACATCTACAAATATGAATTTCCCTACATTGGTCATGACAGGTATACCTTTTCTCTGGTAGCTGTTTGTTTTTCTCTCAGGTACTTCTCTCTACAACGATCACACACCAAGTACCAGGTGCTTCCTCCAATCCCACCATCTCCACAGTTACCAGCCCAGCCTCCACAAAAGTGACCAATACTGTTATAGCCCTGACCTCCAGCATATCGACCACAGCCTGAAAGAACACAACACAGAAAAGTGATGATATACTCCATATATTGGTCTTTATATCCATTCTGAACAAAACAGAATGGAGTAAGACCCAAGAAATGACGGCACTGTACCTGGGTGGGCCTGTCTCATGTGGTACGTAACAGGGTATGGGTGAGACTCTCCACACAGCTCACAGACGGTATCCTTCTCAGGGCCTCCCATAGCTAACTGCGCCATCTCCCCAAAGAGGTTCCCCCTGGGGCGAACCTCGGCTTTCTCCTTTTTCTTCTTCTCTTTCTTGGTCTTCTTGCTGTCCTTTTCATTCTCCTTCTTTTTAAGGATAGCACTGGACCCTGGACTCGGGAAGATCATATTCTGTGTAGCCGCTTTTATGGTAGCCATGGATATGTCCTCCCAGAATGCTACTAGGTGCTGGAGGGTGAGAGGCAAGATGGACTTAGACCTCATGGAGTTGCTGGTCATCTCATAGGAGACCGCCTCACTTTTTCCATCCTCGCACTTCTCGGGCAAGGGTGGCTCTTTCAGCATGGACAGAACCTTGTTCTTGTTGATGCTACCCATCTTGGAAATGTCTGGGCCATGTGGTGATATGTTGAACATGTTGAGGGCCGAGGAGATCTCCAGAGAGTGACGGTTCTTCAGTTTGCTCTCCTTCTCTTCAAAACCCTGCTGGCAGCTGAGAGAATTACGGATGGGTGCATGTTCTTTGGTCAGCTCAGGGTTGAACTTCAGGAAGGAAGAGCATGCCATGGCATCATGTACTATGCCCTCATGCCAGAGGAAGGCAGCAAAAACAGCACGAGCACATTCCGCAACAGAAGGCGACATGGCTTGCTTGGCGGGTTCAGCAGGACGCACGTTTTCACCCTTAAAGAGTGGCCCAGATTTGTCTTTTTTGGGTCTCACATGCCTGCTGGAGGTTTTACGGCTAACTTTGGGTGAAGAACGGCTTTCAAGTTCCTCCTTGACCGGGGCTTTTCCAATACTAAAGTGGACCTTGGAAGAGCCCTCTTCAGCATTGTGCAACTCTGCATTCTCATCATTGGCTTCATCATTGGACAGCAAGGTGCTGGACCTACACACCTCCACCACTTCGCTGTGGAGGTTCTCTTGAACTACATGGGGAGATGGGGCTCGGTTCTCAGCATTGCTGCTTCCTCCTTTGCTCTCTTTGGGTGAAATTTTTGGCTTGGGAGATGTAGACCTGCCTCTCAGAGGTTCCATGAAAGGAACCTTCTTCTTTCTGAGCGTGTCAGGGTCTAGCGTATAGGAGTCAGATTTGGATCTCTCACGAGGAGGGTCCAGGTGAGCTTTAGAAGAAGGACTAACTTTAGAGGGCAGGTTCTTGTCGTGAGGAGAGGATGAACGTGGAGAACTGTTGCTGGAAGGGCTAGATCTACCCGAACTGAAGGTCTTCTGTTTGGGTGAGGAGGAACGGGAGCTAGGGTTCGGAGACTCAGCCCTAAGGCCTGAGGTTCGGCCATCAGCTTTCAGGGCTTGTAGCGTGTTGTGGTTAGGGGAATGGGAGCGGCTGTGAGAGTCAGACCGCAGTTTGCCGGTGTCTGATTTGAGACTGAGGGCCTCGCTGGCAGACAGACTGTCATTGTTCTTGCTCTTCACCTGGTCAACAGATCGACTAGAGTGACTGTCCGTTTTGGAGGATCGACTCTCTTGACGATGCTTGCTGCCTGGAGACATAGACCGACTGGCCAAGTTATCCCTGTCACCTGCGTATCATAACACACCAACAGTTACCAATGTGCAACTCATTTGTGCAGGAGGCACTCCACAAAGACTTGTCAGGCGTTTTCACGTAAGTAGGAAGAAATAAAAATAAAAAAACAAGACAAAAAAAAAGACATCTGAAAATGTAAGGGAAAAATCATTTACAACATAATAGGAACTTAAGAAACCAAATGTAAAACAACAGAAGTAAATTTTAAAATGACATCTACAAGAATCCACTGAAATCCAAGAATGACCTTAAATTTCAATTTACTGACCAACTTTTATTTACATAAGAATTTAAGTATTCATAAGACTTTAAGGTAGCAAATGCATAAATATTGATGCAAATGGAAAGCACCCAGGTCATGGGAAATGTTTTGTCAAGCTTGTAAACCTGCCCCCATATATATTCCAAAGCACTAAATACTCTGTTGCCATGCCTAAGGGGAAATAAATGGACTGTGGAAGAGAGAATGACATGAAACCCCTCCCTGTAGTGAGTCTCCAGGGTGCTCCCAGGAGAAGACATGCATTACCCACCCTTTTGTCTGAGAACAAGAGATGAGAGAGTGGTGCCAGGGCCGGTCGCATTGCTTTTGTGCACACGCTCACGTGAAGCAAGGCTGCGTGATGAAGCATCTACAGCGGAAAACAGTGGCAAGGAAAGTAAGCAACAAGGCTTGAACCAAGGAAAACCATCAGAGAATGAGAAAGAAAGTGAGAGCCAATGAGCAATGAAGAGTGGAAGAAAGAGTGTATGAGGAAATGAGGACTCTGGCCCTGTTTACACTTGATATTAACAATCGTATTGGGTGATCTAATCGCAAGTGGACAACTGAGATTTGTAGTTTACACCTGGTATTAACATGCAATTCAAATGTGTCTGTGACTACTTCGTTTTCAAGGGGAATATTAAAGATTTTGTGACTACATGTATAACATAAAACATCAGTTGCTATAGCCCCTTTCACACATATAGTCTTTACTATTAAATTACCGGTAAATTAACATTAGGAGATCATGTGTGAACAGGACCTTTTCAAAAATACAGGTACATTTGTTCTGGCAATTTACCGGCAATTTACCGGTATGAGAAGATGTAACATTACCAGTAACATTACATAACATTACAGAGCAAGACCACCCCTTTATGCCTGTCAGTCAGACTTCAAATATCTTGGACAGATAGGGAAACTAAAGTGCTTCTACTCGCGTGGGCGAATGAAAACAACGGCGCGGTTTTTAAAGATCATTCTGTTGACTGACATCACAGAATTTATCGGTATTTTGGAGCTAATGTGTGAATGGTCTCTTACTGGTAAAAAGCCAGAACACCGTTGCTTGTGTGAATAGTATATTTGTGTATTTACTGGTAAGATCATTCTGGCCATTTTACGGTAATTTACCGGGACTGCTGTGTTAAAGGGTCTAATATTCAAAACAGATGTAATAGATGTGCTCCTGATATAAAGGCTATTTTAGAAAGTATACATCTTAATTATGCATCCTCCATATACACACTGTTCTAATTCTAAAGGCCCTTTCACACGGGACGCGGCAAGCGGTGGAATCGCCGCACGGCTGCCGCTTTCTCTTGTAGTGGAAGCGTTTTGTGCAGTTGAGGCGGTGGTCGCGTTGCGGTCTCGGAGCGGACGTTGCCATAGTTACAATTTTCAACATCACCTTTGTATTTACTAAAAAATAAATAAAACAACGGAAATTTGTGTTTGTCATCCTGTCATTAATTATTGTCATTATTATTTTTGTTTTTTTTCGTTTGGCACAAGTGGAGTTGTTTTTGAAGATTTGCCTTAAGAGTATCACAAGGTAACGATTTAAGCAAATATTTGAGGGAAATATAATTTTAAAGGAACATTTAGAAGATTACTTGTGCCTAAACAATGCATCCCAGGCGCAGGGCTTTGCTGGAAATGCAAAAACTTCTTATTGATGTGCTCATGCATAAAAGGAAAAAAAAGAGGACAAAATGGGTACATGAACTACTCCTTAACCGAGAAGAGCAGGGAGACTATTATCATTTGGTACAAGAACTTTATAATGACCCTCTCAGGTTCAAGACCTACTTCAGGCTTACCCCTGAACTTTTTGAACTACTTCATGAGAAGGTGGCAACAAGGATCACAAAGACGGAAACAAACATGAGGAAACCCATCAGTTCAAAGGAGCGGCTTTCCATCTGTCTCAGGTAAATGCAATAACTTCATTACATTTATTATAGTTTGATAACTCTTCAAAATACAATTTTATTAGTATTTTGTTGTAGTATTTTCTTCAAAATACAATTTTATTAATAAGTTGAGTTAAAAAAAACAAATACATGTTAAAACATTTTTTAAAGCATTCTTAATAATCAAAAATGAGTTTGTGTGCATATATATATATATCCCTGTTACATAAATAAGAACATTAGGTTAGACAAAAGAGCTAACCCAGAACATCAGCCATCAGTTGGGCTACTAACAGTGTCTGAGAACATACAACTGTATATCTGTTTTTAGAGTTACTTCTCTTTAAACTGAATGTCATGCAGGACCCGCATAATTTCAATGCGGGCTGTAGATTTTTGTATCTCGCTCAGTCTCTTAAAAGCTGGTACAAGACTCATGAGGAAGAGTTCATCCTCATCGCCACAGTCTTTAAGCTGCTTGGAGATTTCATCCACCTTTTCAAGTACACGTGACTCAAAAAAAACAAGGATCACAAAGACAGAAACAAACATGAGGAAACCCATCATTTCAAAGAAGCGGCTTTCCATCTGTCTCAGGTAAATGCAATAACTTCATTGCATTTGTTATAGTTTGATAACTCTTCAAAATACAATTTTATTAGTATTTTGTTGTAGTATTTTCTTCAAAATACAATTTTATTAATAAGTTGAGTTAAAAAAAACAAATACATGTTAAAACATTTTATAAAGCATTCTTAATAATCAAAAATGAGTTTGTGTGCATATATATATATATCCCTGTTACATAAATAAGAACATTAGGTTAGACAAAAGAGCTAACCCAGAACATCAGCCATCAGTTGGGTTACTAACAGTGTCTGAGAACATACAACTGTATATCTGTTTTTAGAGTTACTTCTCTTTAAACTGAATGTCATGCAGGACCCGCATAATTTCAATGCGGGCTGTAGATTTTTGTATCTCGCTCAGTCTCTTAAAAGCTGGTACAAGACTCATGAGGAAGAGTTCATCCTCATCGCCACAGTCTTTAAGCTGCTTGGAGATTTCATCCACCTTTTCAAGTACACGTGACTCAAAAAAAAGTTCCTGCTGTCTTCGCCTTTTGTGAGCTGTTCTCGTTTTCATTCTCAGCAAGTGAATCCTCTCCTGTTGTACTGATATCACTCACTTCCTGCTCTATCTGCACTGTCACTGGCTCAAGTGTGAGAATAACTTCCTGTTCTTCTTCATTTACCATCATGTTACTGCTTGTCGGCCTCTCTCTCACATGGGGCTCAAGGAATGACATGATGTTAAAGTATTTCCAGACTTTCTGGCTGTCTGCTTCTGACCCACTCTTCTTCTCTTTCATGGCTCTCCTCTCTTTTATATATTTATCCCTGAGATTTTTCAATTTTTTCCTCACTTCTTCAACTATCCAGAGAAAAACAGTTTAAAAACAAAAACAGAAAAAGAGTTAATACACTGAAACAAATAAAAATGATTGAGAATTATACATAAATACATAATGATTTATTTGTAGAGTCCTTTTCACAATACACATCGTTTCAAAGCAGCTTTACAGAATGTCATGATGTTAATGTTTACAATATCTTATTTTTATATGATTTAGTTGCATGATACCCAATATTTTTATTTTTCAATACAGGTTTCTGGCAACTGGAGATTCATTTGTGAGCATAGCTTTCAGCTTCAGAGTGGAAACTTCAACGGTAGCAACAATTGTGGATGAGGTCACCAAGGTCATCTGGGATGTGTTGGTGAATGAATATATGCCAGTATCAGCAATGCAAGATTGGGTGGAAATCGCTAAAGAGTTTCAGGAGAGGTGGAACTTTCCAAACTGCATTGGAGCTATTGATGGTAAACATGTGGTGTTACAAGCTCCACCAAACTCTGGGTCATTATATTTCAACTATAAGGGCACACACTCTATTGTCCTTCTGGCATTAGTTGATGCACATTATCTGTTTCGAGTTATTGATGTTGGAGCTTTTGGAAGAAACAGTGATGGAGGAGTGTTTTCCTGTTCCTCTTTGGGAAAAAGACTGAAAGAGGAAAAACTTGGCATTCCAATGGACACACCACTACCAGGGGCAGAAAGCCTTGGGCCTATGCCACATGTCTTTGTTGGAGATGAAGCTTTCCCACTGCAAAAACATCTGATGAGGCCCTTTCCAGGCCAGCAGCTCACAACAGAGAAGAGGGTGTATAACTATCGTTTGTCATAACATTTAACCACGCGCAAAAAAAAGTATTGTTTGGACATTTTGTACGTATTTAAATTTTTACCTGGCAAACCAACTCGTGGCTCCCACGCTCTAGATTTTTTTTTTATGTCTCTGTATGAGATTTTAGATGGGTCATACAGTTCAGGGAAATCATCACACTTAAAACAATCTTCTCCTCCATTTTCAACTGTCCGTTATAAGTTCAGTTAAATGTTCTATGATTGGTTGTTAATAATCTGTTCACTGATTGGTTAAAACCGACGCGGCTGTCGCTGCCGCTCACAAAAAGATAAAATATTTTTATCTTTGGCGGTGCCTGCCGCGAAGCGCCGTGCCGGTGGAAGCGGCAGGATTTTGGGTGCACGAGCACCGCTTGCGCTCCGCCTCCGCGCCGCCAGCGAAACCGCCCGCGTTTTGCCGCTTTCCGCATGTCTCCCATTGAGAATGAACTAGACACTCGCGACTGCCGCGTACCGTGTGAAAGGGCCTTAAGGCAGCATTACAAATATAATTTGTTCAGTTAATAGTTTGTACATTAACTGAGCATTTTAGATTATCTGTGTAATTGCAGAGAAGTTCTGTAAAGTCTTGTGCATGCATATGTATGATTTAAAAAAAATAATACTTACATGTACACACTACACAGGTAGTTTAAAATTAAAAAACCTTGTTTTGGTGCAATGAAATATTAGCGGGTCAGAAGACAGACAATGTTGTCTAGGATGCATTAGTATTTACACAACAAGTGCAGTGTTTCTGATTACCTCCAAATTGGCTGACAAAAATTATACACAACCTCATTAAAGCCCTGCAATTGGTGATCGGATCACCCACGATGGATGTTAACACTAAGTGTAAACAGGGTCAGAGGAGCATCTAGGTACTGGGAAAGATGTATGAATAGAGAAAAAGCAACAAGTAGAAGGACAGACACTGTGAGAGAGACAGAGTCTGGTAGAAGAAGGCACAAGACTAAAACAAAACTGGGCATCAACCAGTGCAAGTTAGGGTGGCAGAAGAGTGAGAATAAAATATGAAGAATTGTAATGAATCTGAAATGCAGATTCAGAGTATTCTGGCTGTGGAAAATATTGAGACACTTGCTCCTGAAATATCCAAAAAACCCAAATTCATTTTTCTTATGCAGACATATGCATTGTGGTTTACACTGGGGGATGCAATGCTACAGCACTGCATGGTTTTGATTGCGTGGACGGATTCCTGGACCTCTTGGTAATTATTTAGCTAATGAATGATCAAATTAAGCACTGTACATGTAGCAAGCAAAAAAGAAAAATGCAATCAAATTAACAGAAACATCTGACATGAAACACACACACTGTTAGTAGCTACAATAGAAACAGAAGAGGAGCTTAAATGTTATTTGGCCACTGAAGTTAAAATGAGATGAGAAAGAAAAGAATCACCAATTCAAACATAGCAAGCAAGCGGGTGGACGCCGACAGAAAAGCAGGGGAAATAAGCCTGAACGGATCTTAACACAACCTATGGGACACTAAACAAATAAGCGCTTAAGACAAGCACCGCCACTACCTTATAGACGTACAGACTTACTCGGAAGCTGTGGATGCGGTTGAGGCTGCTGGGAAAGGGATTGTCCAAACACAAATGGGCTGTGGACAAGGGAAGAGGGAGGTTTGGCAGCTTGCTCAAATATGGAAGGAGTTGGGAGGAAAGGCCCAGACTGAATGGAATTCAGTATGGCACTCAGCCGGTCACCTGCAATGCGGAAGACAATGGGAGTGCTGTAGCTTATATGATCCTTAAAAGGAGCCATACAAAACGCTCGTCAGTTTAACGCCCCACACAAGCACGCACGCTCACTGGAAGTAATGGGGTGTGTGAGTGGGTCAGCTGAACCAACATGAGGGGAATAAGGAATGGCCGGGGGAGCCGTTGGGTTAGGTTTTCATGAAACCTCATATCTGGAACATCTACAAGGTCACAGATAAAACATTGGCAGACAAAGCCAATACTCTGCTTTCATCCCTTTTATAGTGCAACTCATGGAAATTCTGTGGGGGGAGGGGATTTGTCCAAATTGTATCAAACATTTTAATACTAACCAAACAAGTAGCATGACATTACTGAAAACTAAGATTTTAGCGGAGTTGTTAAAGTCAACATGAAAAGACTTCCATAATGCAATGTGTGTCTGACAAGATAGTTATTGAGGGAAGAAAAGAAAAAAGCGTAGGGTGGGAACTGATTTTATCTCAGGAACTGATTGGATCACAAAAAGTATGCATTTCATATGAAAATGGAACATGTATCAGAGTTTGCAGTGAATTGTGAGAAGGCTTTTTGACTGTTTAAGGTCAGGTTCACCCTTAAGAACAGGTCAAGGTATCCCAATAGAAGCATTTATGATTTTTTGTTTACCGATTACTGCCGTAATCTTTATTGTATTACATTAACATTATCAAAGGACTGCATTTTTTATTTTTACATTATTTGCAAATATTGGCAGGAATTTAGAAAGATGACCTGGACATCCCACTGGCCGAAAAGGAAAGTCTTTAGAGAAAGAGCAAGTTAATACATTTTAAAAATTAGGAAGACTTATTTTTCTTTGGAATGTCAAGCAATTTTAAGGTTAATATTGACTTCATGTTGACTTTTAATCAAGTAGCATTTAGTTAAGCACCATAGTTACGTCAAGGGTATTTTATTCACATAGACTTATTAAGTATAAGAGGTGATGAAGGACCCATCAGACAGCGGTCTATGGGTAACGGCACTAAGCAGCGGAGCATGAGAACAGTATGGTGAGAGCCAGTGGACAATAAATGGGTAAGACCCAGCTGCAGCACACAGAGTCCTGCCCATGCACACAATGATGCCTTCACACGCCACAGACGACAGCCAAGACACACAGATCACAGCATGCAGAACACAATTACTCTGATTACACAGAGCTGAATTGAGACAAATGATTGTGTGTTTGCTTATTAATCAGGGGTCATACAGCACTTTAAATAGATAAAAGACACTGTTTTCATGTCCATTATATCCAGGGCTCCATGACGTTTCCAAGACTATTCCTGTTGTTTGTAATTACTGGACAAGGATTTAAAAAAATCATTTATATGTGAAGTATACACTACCATTTGGGGTCAGTAAGATTTTTTTGTAATACCTTAATACTTTTATTCAGCGGGGATGCATGAAATTGATTTAAAGTGACAGTACAGACACTTATAATGTTACAAAAGTTAAAAAAATTGCTGTTCTTTTGAACACGCCTCATCAAAGTATCCTGAAAAAAGCATCAGGGTTTCCATAAAATGATTAAGCAGCAAAACTGTTTTCAGCATTAATTAGAATGATGGCTGCTGAAAATTCACCTTTGTCATCACAAAAATAAATTACATTTGAACTGTATTAAAATATAATTACATTTTAAATTATTTTAAATTGCAATAATCTTAAGTATTATTTTAAATAATTATATTTCACAATATTACTGTTTTACTGTATTTTTGAGCACAAGACACTTCTTTTAAAAACATTAAAAATATTACCAACCCCAAACTTTGAACGATACTGTATGTTTGGTAGGAAAAAAATTTATTCTGGTCCACAACATTTCATTTCCACGTTTAACCTACAAAGTTTTTACTTCAAGAACGAGACAATTTTTAGGAACATAAAGGAAATCGCAGTTACTAAAACATGAACACAAAAATCCTGGATGACTGGCTATTCTACCACAGTTGGATTGGCATCAATTTTGTGAAATAACATTTAAAATCAGGGAATAAACTACCAAGATATATCTGATCAAATATGACATTTAGCAGGAGCATGGTAGGGGCGGGCGATATGACCAAAATCTTATATCACGATATGAGTCATTTTAATTCACTGTAACTATATCACAATATAGTTATTTTTGTTTTAAAAAAGTTCTTTCTGATATCAAAATGTTTGATACCTGAACACAAAAATCCTGGATGACTGGCTATTCTACCACAGTTGGATTGGCATCAATTTTGTGAAATAACATTTAAAATCAGGGAATAAACTACCAAGATATATCTGATCAAATATTTAGCAGGAGCATGGTAGGGGTGGGTGATTTTATGACCAATCATGGGTGATTTTATGACCAAAATCTTATATCACGATATGAGTCATTTTAATTCACTGTAACTATATCACAATATAGTTATTTTTGTTTTAAACAAGTTCTTTCTGATATCAAAATGTTTGATACCATAGAATTGTCATAATTCTTGTCACTAGTGTCAATATCACAAAAAAAACTAATACTAGCCTAAGTGAAAAAAGAAAAAAAAAACTCAAGCTCACTGTAGACAAATAAAAAGTCAGCCATTAAATAAGAATAAGAAACTAAGAACAAGCAATAGGACAAAAAAACTACAGTAGAACAAATAAGAAATGCTACGTACATTGTTTAAAGTAATCAAATGTATAAAAACACTGCATATTCTTCACTGTCAATTAAATATATATTTTGTCTTATTAAAGTTACAAAAATGATTTAGACGAGCAGCGAGAGATTTTCTTATTGTTGTTATTTGATTAACATGAATAACAGACAGTCAGAATATTGGACTGCTGTCACTTTAAAAGCTGCCCAGATCCAATATAATGTTACACATGTGTTTTCTTTCTCAGCTGTTTCAATGGCTTAAAATCACTTGTTTTTAAACTGCAATGCTTAAAAACGTGTGCAAACTATATGTAGCACAGCAACATCACGTGAGTGTGTAACCGCGATAGAGACAATAGTCAAAAATCTCTAGCAGTTGACAAATTTCTACTGGTGTCTACCGGTATGTCACCCACCCCTAGAGCATGGTATGAAAAAATATGAAATTTAATCATATAAACAAAGGTGTAACTGTCACTTAATAATAAATCACTCCTAATAAATCTCTCCAGGATCTTTACTCTCACCTTTGTTGTTGATGCCGTAGTCGAAGCCCTGAGCTCCCGAGCTGCCCATGCCCCTGTTAAACGCCTGGACTGAGAACGGGCTGGGAGGAGGGGTCTGGGCTCCATGCTCCAAAATTGCTTGCTCTGTTCCAGAGAGAAACAAAATGCATTAATAATCATCAATAACTAACAGCCAGCTGAATTTCAACTTGTGGTTTAAGCATGCTCTATTTCATTACTGGTTTCCTATTTAAAGAAACAGTTCACCTAAAAATAGAATTGTGCATTAGAAATGCTGCTTTTGCAACTAACTGAAATACGTTTAAGTACGTGTGTTAGCGTTACCTTCCTCGTGACGTAGGTACTGGTTTCCCCCTCTGTCTCGGGCCAGAGACCAGGCCTCCCCCTCATCGCTCTCACAGAACTCCACCACACTGTTCTTATCCAGCTGAACCCAGGTGCCCTCCGAGTTAATCACCTGATACAGATACAGCTTTATTTACCTCCTCTCTCTCACACACACACTACATCAATCCAGAGGAGCATGACTGATTAGCAAGCAAAACTCAGTGGAGGCTCTAAAATGACGGCGCATTTAGAAACAAATATATGATGTACCCTTCAATTCTCAGGATTTATGAATTGAAACCAGTTCGAACAAAGACACTGTTTTAAATTTGACGTGAGAAGAATAGCAGTATTTGTGTAAGTTGGGAGGCTCAGAGACAGCGACTTTAGGAGAGCATTTGAGGACAGCATGACACACCACACCCTCTACTGAGAGAAGAAAGAGGCAAAGTCCAGCCCTTCCATGATCACACATGGAGACCATTCAAATTAGGGCTGTGCGATTAATCGAAATCGAATCGAAATCTTTCCCCCAAATCGCACAGCCCTAATTCAAATGCCATAAAAGACAGGTGTTTACCAAGATTGTGCGCCATTCAGAATTCCCATTCAATTCCTGAATTTGAATTGAGACAAAACCAGATGCAGAATTGTAATTTGAATTTAAGGAAGTACAATTATAAAGAAAGAAATTCAAAGAAAATTCATCTAAATTGAAGTAGTTTTAACTAGGGATGTTCATTTCGGTTATTTTTTCTAACCGACAACCGACGCTCGTTAACCGATTGTTAACCGTTAACCGAGAAGATTATTTTAAATTAGAATTCAATTAAATTAGAAAGGATAAGGATAAAATACTAACATTTGTTTTCCGGGGATTAATTTTACATGCGAACATAATAAAGCTAGGCTATATATATATATATTTATAAGCCTATATATACTGTGCCGTGAAAAGGTTTTTGCCCCCTTCCTGTTTTTTTATTTTTTGCATATTTGTCACACTTAAAAGATTCAGATCATCAAACCAATTTTAATATTACGCAAAGATAATGCAAGTAAATACAAAATGCAGTTTTTAAATGATAATTTCATTTATTAAGGGAAAAAAGCTGTCCAAACCTTCCTGGCCCTACGTGAAAAATTATTTGCCCCTCCTCTTAAATCATGAAAGAACTATGATTAACCACATCATTTTAGAAAGCTGAGTTAAATTTCACTAGCCACACGCAGGCCTGATTACTGCCAGACCTGTTGAATCAAGAAATCACTTAAATAGAACCTGTCTGACAAAGTGAAGCATGCTTAAAGAGCAACACATCATGCCGCGATCTAAAGAAATTCAAGAACAGATGAGAAACAAAATAGTTGACATGTATCAGCCTGGAAAGGGTTATGAAGCCATTTCTAAGGCTTTGGGACTCCAGCGAACCACGGTCAGAGCCATTATCCACAAATGGAGAAAACTTGGAACAGTGGCGAACCTTCCCAGGAGTGGCCGGCCTACCAAAATTACCCCAAGAGCAGAACCCCTCCTAAAACACAAAAAAATTTATGGATTTCAGGGTTATAATGGGAATTGTATTGGTTTTAATGTAACCTATAATGAGGTGTCTATTTGATGGATTCTATTGGTGGATGTAATCTGGCAGATGGCAACCAATAGAACAACAGTAATTCCTATTGGAATAATGCCCAAAACAAAAAGGAATTTTGTATTGGTTTAATGGAAACTATAAGAATTTCTGTGATGGTTTCTATTGTTTTTTTCAGCAGGGTAATGATACCCATACTGTGCTGCACATTATTGACAATATTGAGCTGAAGCTTGACTTTGCAAATTTAAAATCGCAAATCAAATCGCAATCGCAATATCTGTCAAAAAAATCGCAATTTGATATTTTCCCCCAAATCGCACAGCCCTAATTCAAATGCCATAAAAGACAGGTGTTTACCAAGATTGTGCGCCATTCAGAATTCCCATTCAATTCCTGAATTTGAATTGAGACAAAACCAGATGCAGAATTGTAATTTGAATTTAAGGAAGTACAATTATAAAGAAAGAAATTCAAAGAAAATTCATCTAAATTGAAGTAGTTTTAACTAGGGATGTTCATTTCGGTTATTTTTTCTAACCGACAACCGACGCTCGTTAACCGATTGTTAACCGTTAACCGAGAAGATTATTTTAAATTAGAATTCAATTAAATTAGAAAGGATAAGGATAAAATACTAACATTTGTTTTCCGGGGATTAATTTTACATGCGCAAAAAGCAGCAAACAACAGAACATGAGGATTCACATGGTCATATCATATCACATCACGCACCTGCAGCACTTCTGCCAGCGGAGAAGAACATAATAAAGCTAGGCTATATATATATATATTTATAAGCCTATATATACTGTGCCGTGAAAAGGTTTTGTGTCGGCATTAGGCCTATTTCTGAATGAAACTATAAAATGCGACTTATACGCGACTTATGTTTTTTCCCCCTAAAAAAATTTTTTTTTATACGCGTAGCGTATTTTAACCACGCAGCAAACCTTTTTAAATATTTTGATTAATTACTGAAAAAATAAATAATTAAATTACTTTTTAAACCGTTTAACTGATTGTATTAATCGGTCAAAATTCTTACAGTCGGTTAACTGGCTAAAATGGACATCCCTAGTTTTAACAATAATTTGTTAGTATTTTTTTCTACATTGTCTATTCTACAATATCAACATTGTTACCTACAGAAAGTATAACACAACATAATATAATATACTAGGGTATCTAGAGAAGTTATAATACAGCATAAAATAACAATATATAATATAATAATAAATTGACAATTACTCAAAGTAATTATGTAATTATTTGTGTTCTGTTTCACAACACAAATGTGCATGTTTGAGTAATTTAATTTCTTAGAATTACAATTCATTAAGTTGCTCTTCCTATCATTCCAATTCAAAATCCAGTTCCACATCCTATGGGTCAGAACTAATTCAATTCAAATTCACAATCCCAAATTGAAAGGAAACCTATTCTTAATTCTGAATTTTGCTCAACCTAGGTGTTTACAGAGTGTACATTATCATGTGACTTCAGTTTTTTTTTTAATTCACAAGCTTCATCTGTCATTATTGTTAATAGGAAATTAGGATCATTTATTAATTGTTGCATCACACAGTTTTTCCTAAAGAGCATGCCAGATTATACTGTACTGTTACTGTGCAAAAGCTGAAGCCATGCTTGGTGATTCTTGAGAGGGGCTTTAATAATGTGAACAGAACAACACCACACCCACGCCAGAGCCATAGCATGTATGGCCTTTATCAAAAGACGTTACACAAAGGGTTCTCTAATCGTCTAAAGAAAAATGAAGAATTTGTGTTACAGAAACTGCAGAACTAGCAAGAAATCTGGCTAATTAGTCATTTATTGGCAGCCACAGTAACACAGTTGGGAGTCCATACCTCGCCTACAGCCTTGACTTTGTTTCCCAGAACTAACATTCCAATGGGGATACCTCTAAGGTTTGGGCAGCTTCTGATGTTGTGACCCGAAGGTCCGGTCTTCACTACCTTATAAAGACCCGGTCCGCCACCCTGGCCTGCGCCCAGGTCACGTACATTGGCATCCTGGGAAGGGTGGCCACTGGTCTCCTTTCCATAATCATCCAAATCTGACCTGCCCTCCTGCAAAACCAAAGGACACTGGTTAATTTAATTTTTAAAGTAAGTGGTGCATTATAAAATGTATGTTTTCAAAATATTCAATCTATTTTTTAGATTAAAAGACAATAAGACCAAGAGCCAATGACAAATAAGGATGTCCTATGTGACGAAAAAGAAAAATCTAGTTTAACAGTTAATACTATTTTCAACAAAGAGAGATTATGATTATAGGACAATTGCACAACCTTGACATTTCTGTCCCTTAAAAAAATATAAAAATGAATTTTAATTCAAAAATTGAAAATACATTTCATAGAAGCAGCACATTCAAGTAAGGTTAATGTATTTTTGAAAATAATGTATATACATAAACTTGCCAATTGTGCTTCTAAATACAAAGAAAGACAATCTTTACAAACATCATCTTATCCTAACTGTGACTTGTAACTAATTAGGTTGTGGAATGAAGATCATTATAACAAACATAACAGTGTGTTCTGATGTCAAGCTCTGCTGACTAATACTATATAGAAATGCTGTTCATAAACTGACAAAAATCATTTTGCCTTTGTGTGAGGGAAAACAAAAACATGCATTCACATATTCCGCTTTAAGAAGTCGTTCACCCAAAAATTAAAATGCTGTCATTATTATTATGCATTATGTTGTTATTTGTACCATGGAACACAAAAGGAGAATTTTGAAGAATCTTTTCCATATATGGTTGGACTTCTTTAACATCATCATCAAACTTATTTGCATAAATTGTTTTTCTGCGCTTAAAGGGTTAGTTCACCCAAAAATGAAAATTCTGTCATTAATTACTCACTCTTGTGTTGTTCGAAACCCGTAAGACATTCATTCATCTTCGGAACACAATTTTTAAGATATTTTTGATGAAATATGAGGGCTCTCTGACCCTCCCATAAACAGCAAGGTAACTACCACGTTCAAGGTCCAGAAAAGTACCAAGATGATCGACAAAGTAGTCCGTGTGACATCAGTGGTTCAACTGTAAAGTTACGAAGCTACGAGAATACTTTTTT